TTTCACCGCTAGATGGACGCCAATTTTTTAGTCCATGTTTTGACCTATTTTTTTATTTTCTCTTCTAGCGCTCTGAGAAGGCTCTGGTGGCAATATATAGGCTCTAGAGAGACCACAGAACAATTTCTGACCCTCAGAAATACGTAAAATTGCCTAATTTCGAAGAAAATCGAAATTTTAGTTTTTCGTAGTTCCGCCGCTCGCCGCTAGATGGCGCCATCTGTACCGTTTTGGGCCGAATTCGACAAAAATTGATTTTCTGGCTTTATTAGGCATCGAAATGCATCAAACCCTAATAGAAATTTGTTTCTAAATGCCTCAGAAACCATACTACGTCGTCAAAGTGCCGAAATATTCATTTTTTTATTTTCCATTTATGCGTGTTCGGGCTCTTATTTTTTAGGTTTAGTTCACCCGTTTCGCCGCTAGATGGACTCCAATTTTTTAGTCCATAAACTGAATGTGCATATGTTATTGTATGCGATAGAGACTTGTTCCCCTTGACTGCCATTTTACCAAGGGAAGCCGGATTTGGTCTGGAATGTATATATGTAATAAGAATCGATTAAAATAGACGAATATAATTGTATTTGATATGGTCATTTTACATTTTTGAACTAAAAAAGTTGCAGTATGTAAAAGGATTATTGTGTCAAAGTATCTACGTTACATAACCTCAATCTTAGACATTCGAATAAACAAGGAATTAAAGCTGTATTAAAAATGGATCGAATGGCAGATGTGCGGGATATATTAGACATCGAAGTACCCACAACTAGTGAGCTTACAAAGGAATCTATTATAGGCAGTGATAAGAAAAATCGAAAAAAATATGAATACAATAGGTCAAAGAGGCCTGAAGGTATGCACCGGGAAGTCTTTGCATTATTATGCAAGGATAATAACGATGTACCACCTTTATTCCCAACGGACACTGCGAAGGGATACAAACAAGTTAGAGCCAAACTTGGTATGAAAAAGGTTAGACCATGGAAGTGGACACCATTTACTAATCCTGCAAGAACAGACGGTGCAGTTTTTCATCATTGGAGACGAGTCGCAGATGCTGGAAAGGAATATCCTTTTGCCAAATTCAACAAAAAAGTTCCTATTCCAACGTACACTAATGCAGAATATGTTCAACATTTGGTTACAAATGGTTGGACAAGAGCAGAAACAGATCATCTCTTTGATTTGTGTAGGAGATTCGACTTAAGGTTTATTATAATTAAAGATAGATGGGATTGTACGAAATTTCCGGCAAGATCGGTAGAGGATTTGAAAGAGAGGCAAGTAACTGTTTCAAGTTTTCATATTTACTTCTATTTTTAATTAATTATGTGTACATAAATATGTTTAGGTATTACCAAGTATGCGCTGCTTTAACAAAAGCAAAATCTCACTCTGATAAGGTTTATATATTTGATGCAGAACATGAGAAGCGTAGGAAAGAGCAGCTAAAAAAGTTGTTCGAGAGAACACCGGAACAAGTAGAGGAGGAACAAATGTTATTAGCTGAATCGAGAAAAATTGAACAAAGAAAGAGGGAAAGGGATAGAAAAACACAAGATTTACAAAAATTAATAACAGCTGCTGATCATCAAGCAGATCCAAGAAAGAACGAAAGAAAACCTACGAAAAAGAGCGGCGCTGCTGCACGAAATAGACCTAATAAGGCAGATACATCTCATGTAAATAGTTGATCTGTATTTTTCATTCCGCGTATTACTTTACTGGTATCGAACTCTTACTCGAAGGTACGCAAACATATTAATGTTCATAATAACTTTCAGACAGTGGAATCTGCTGGAATTAAGTTTCCTGATTTCAAGAATAGCGGTGTTTCGCTCCGCTCTCAAAGAATAAAGTTGCCAAGTAGTCTAGGACAAAAGAAAATGAAGGGTATCGAACAAATGCTCAACGAATTACGATTAGGTATCTACAATTTGCGAAGTTTATGCTCTAGCCTGTTTCTTCTTTAATCGATATTATTACTCGTATTTTATTTGCAGAGTTAAATCCACCACCTACCGAACAAATATGTCAGCAGTTTAATGATTTAAGAAGCGATATCGTTTTACATTACGAACTTCGAAGCGCATTATCAACGTGTGACTACGAATTACAGTCGTTAAGGCATCAATATGAAGCTTTAGCTCCTGGAAAAGTAAGTACTGCTTTAACGAGTTAACTTTTAATAACTTTTTCATTTTTAAATAATACGTGAAATTTTTCAGACATTAACGATACCACCTGCACTGTTACCGAAAACAGAACCTGAAGTTAAAGCGGATATAATAGACGTAGTTGGTTCACCCAGTATGCCAACAATTACTCATTAATGTTTTAAATAAATTAGGTCGATAAGGATTGTAAATAATTTCCTAAGTTTCGAAACATGATACATCGGATACGCTTATTTGATTCTCTGTACAATTTTTTTACCTTCAACTAGACGTTCATTAAAAAATAATTTAACATTGATGGTTGTTGTCATCGTTAACCATTCCAGAATCGTGTTTTTTTTTTTTTTTTTATTTTTATTAATGTTGCGAAGAAGGTTTCGTCGAACGGAGGATAAAGTAACTTAAACAGATTTAATTACTTATATATCTGTGTATTTTATATTGTCGACAAAAAGTAACAATGTACGGTCAAACCGTATAATTTATCTACAACAATCTACAATAGATTACAATATGTTGTTTTGTTTTCCTTTTTGTTGTGGGTTCGAGGGAGGCAGGAGCATCAGAATAACAGGAACAGGGTTCTCGGAAGGAACAGGACAATCGAGGATTCAAAGTGTGGAGGAAAGATGGTCGATGCAGGCCTTTCTTCGTTCGTGCTCCGTTAATCGCGATACAGTTAACTCGTTTTAATTCTATATATTAGAGTACTCGATAGTTCTAACCGTACTTGGTACGGAATAATGCATATATATCTGCTTAATGATCGATAACCCACCACCGCCCGACTTTTCTATCTACGCCGTGCCGTGAAGATTTTCTCGGTCAAAGTTAAATGTAAGGAAAAACTGGGCACAACGCTGGGAGGGCGTCGTTGACCCGCATATCCGATCCATTGTTCGCGGATCGTGCATCCTCTCGTCCCTCTTAGTTTCTCCCTCGCTCCATATGTGCCGATGCTTCGACCACGGTCATTCCGATAACAGGATATCTTAATTTTCAACTTCTATACATCGTTATCGTTACTTCCAATATTTCATTTGCAGATATCCTAAAAACGACATATCACTGGATACAATGTGGAGTTTTGTTACGTGGCATTCTTTTAAATGGTCCTTGTGACAAATCTAAAATAGGCTAACGTTGTGATCGTAGCGTACAGGGAGATTTCGAAATTTTCTTTTTTTTCGTACAATGCCATATACCGAGATTTATTAATTTCAAAAGAGTAATCTAACAGCATCGCCCCATGAAGATGCTATGTTTGTTTCAAGCTTCGTACGTTTCGAAGGAATACTAAATAATTATCGCGTCGAAGTTAAATCGGGCCTAATCTTTTATAAATGTGTAACATCCCGTGGGATGTTAGAAATGTACTAATATAGCATTGTTCAAGAAGGGAAAACAATTGAACACGTCGCTTTATGGTACATGACATTTCCGATTTCGCTACTGATCGAATATGTTTTTGAACGGAATTCGGCGATTCATTAATTGGTAGGAACTTGTTATAGAGGCGAGAAAAGCACGATCGTTGGTTCTGGCACAGCAAACGGGTCGGGTGGAAAGAGAAAGAAGATTGAGCCACGAATAAAGGAACACCGCGGCTGACAAATGTACGTTTACACGTGTCCATACGTATTGTATTTACATACACAATACATACGTATATACACGTATTCGTACCCATAATAGAATAATTAACAATAGCAATTAATAATTAATAATAACAATAATAATGAATACGGACAACTTGCAATGTACAGAGTATGCGTATCTCGTTCGTACTTGGTTTCACGCATGTCACCTGTTCTTATTTCATTTTCTTTTCCTTTGCTCGTTAACCCTCGTACGACTAAGTTCAGCTGCCTATTTTTTTTCTGTTCCAGAGATTTGGATATTTTCAAACATAGAAATTTCAACTTTTCATCACCCCTTTCACGATTTGTTTCTAAAAATCTAAAAATTATAACCGGTATACATTTAAGAGAAACGAACGAAAGGAAAATAATTGAAATTTGCAATTATTCGAATGTCGGAGGTTTGGAATGACCCGATCTTGCCCGGTTTTGTCGTCCGAGGGTTGAACAAACCCAAATACCATGCAGGCTTTATTGATTCGACAACGTTCGAGCGATCCTGCAACTGACCAGAGAATAGAATTTGTCTCGTTTTTTTAGTTTTAAAGTTACTTTTGCTGTTTCGTTATTTTTTTGTTGCTGCTGCTGCTGCTGCTGCTGCTTCTTATAACATGTAACATGAGAAAATCGTATCTTATTCGTTAAAGACATTCCCTACACAACACGGCTACGGTAATGCGTCATGGATATGTGCGCAAGTGCGTGTGAAGAATGAAAGGAGAGAGAAAGAGAGAGAGAAAGGTCAGATTAGTGGGGGTAAACGGAGAGGGCGAAAACGAGAAACAGAGTCAGTTTTAAAAGAAAGGAAAAGAGATTGGTAGGAGAGAAGGATGGCGTGTGGCATATGGGATATAAGGATCTGGTTGGGTTCTTTTGGAGCTGTCGAAGTGTCCGCACGTACGCGCGCGTACGCACGTGCGCACATAGGCACACGTTTCAAAAGTTTTTTTTCTTTATATGTATAGACTTTTGTATATAATGTGTTAATCGTTAATGTTTTCCTTTTCTGTTGCTGGTTGGTTGCTGCTTTTTTTCGTTTTTCTTTAAATGACTAGCTTTCCTCGAGTATGTATATATATACACATAAGTATATGTACAATACATATATATGTGAATATATATATACTTTGCTATTATATAATAATATATTAACATGTACGCTCGGCACAACTTGTTCCTTTCTCTCCCACTCTTTCGTACGAGTTTTCTTTCTCTCCCTTTCTCACTCGCACACATACATATACATCAGGCAATTACGATAATTTTCTCTCTCTCTCTCTCTCTCTCTCTCTCCCTCTCTTTCTCTCTTCTTTCACTCGTTTCAATTTGCCTATAATTGGTAACTCTACCTTGTATTGTATATAGCTACAACGCTATGGTAGACAACAACAAATAATATTTATCCTAAACTTGTTTCACCTGCTTTCTCTACAATCGTATTCGTATATGCCGTAAAAATGTTGTATATAATGATATTAATATTGTTTATAATATTTTTATGGTTTTATTGCACGCGGTTGTAGACCGCGACGGCGTCGGTGTCTCGAACGAGCGGCGATTATCCATGGTTTACAACAATCGCGATGCGGTCGTTCGATTCGAATACTAGTGTTTCGTTTTTTCGAACGAGACGACAGCGATTCGCGCGATTTCGAGTAAAAAGTTTCAAACTCGAACAACTTCGAAACAAACTTGGAGAACGAATATAATAACCGATGCCGATCGTTCGTTCCACGCCGACATCTTCGCGAACTACGTTTTCTTAACATCAGCCTGTTATAATTTCATTTCTTTCATTTTTTTTTCACTTTTTGCAAAATTTTCACTGTGCTGTTTATTTATTTATTTATTTTTTTGTTGCTTTCTTGCGTGTAATACTCGTTACGTTTAAACTCGCACGCGATCAGCGATTTCTCTAAATATATATATGTATATATATATTTATATGTATAAGCCGAAAATCATCCTTCTTGCGTGAGATGTAAATAACATGGTCGTTGGTGCAGCGTTTTCTTATATTTTTTCTTCTTTTTTTTCTTTATTCTTTATTCTTTGTTTTCTTGTCTTGTTTCCGCTCAAAGAAAAAAATACCGTTCGTACCGGCTAACATCACGACTCGAGATAATGAACGAAAAAAGCATGGTCGTCTATCGTGAAAAGTCGATTTGCCGTTTATATATTTCGACAGGTATCACAAAAAAGTCGTCAAATCGAACGCTTGTCGAGACCTCGTTGTGTTTCTCGATCAAAATTGCACACGTGCACGCTGCAATCCGTAATAAAGTTCATTAATATTTATTATTTATGTGTATGCGGGTTTCGACTCTAACCGCAATGTACCCTAAATATCCGCGAGAAACAGAATCGACCCCAAAATGTACATTCCCGATTTTAACCCTCTCGCTGTTACGACTCTCCTGCTCTCCGCGTGTCTCCTATTTTTTTTATCTTTTTTTCTCCTTATTTTCATTTTCGTATAATGTATTTGTTAATTTTTAATAATAGTAAAAATATGAAAGCTTACGCGGTTCATTTGTAACCCTTTCTTCGACTCATTCGTGCTCCGAACGAATCGGTCGAAAAGTTGGAACGGTGTTCCGTGAACGGTTCGTAACGGGACAGAGGTACAATGAAACCTCGCTATATGGCCTTGAACGCAAACATTTCTAAACTGGCAAATTTACGAAACGAAAATGTTAACAACGATTTCCAAATGTTCCGATTTATAAAGTTCAGAGTTTACAAAGAAAACGTATTCCCGCGTTTGCGAGTAGGTTCAGCAGGAGGATAAGCGAAATAGGACATCATCGACGAGGGAAAGAATCGCGAATAGTTCCATTTTCGATTTTCTCCGTTCGTGGAACCGCGTGAACGGTGATTTATACACATAGCGATTACATTGTAACCTCGAAATAATCCTACTTCCTACATCCTAAAGGTATCCTACGTGTTAGCTGCAAAAACGACGCCTCGTTGGAGCACGAAGGGTTGGCGTAACGAAGGGCATTTGACGATTTAATCACTAAACGAGTTAGAAAAAGTTGACGAGATCGCGAATGTCTCTTTATAGAATGAATGAAATACTATGATCGTTGAGCGGATTAGTCGAGAAACAACGAAAGGGTTGAAATAAGGACGACAATGATAAATATATATTGTATATTATGTATATGTTCGTACGCACGAGCGAAAGAAAGCGTTACCGTAATAAAATTCATCCTATCCTCGGACTCTTTTTGTCCCGAATACAACGTATACAACCTTTACATATATATATGCATATATATATATATATACATATATATATACACACATATACACGTAATATAATAGTACTATTTAAATTTTTTTATTTTAATTCATTTGTTTCTAAGAGGTTCCGCTATTAATCTAGGTATCATCGTTCTTCCTTCTTTCTTCGTTTACCTCGTTAAATCCGGATTTATCATTTTATTCTTCTTTATTCGTATCTCAATTACGTCGTATCCGGTACGTTTCTCTTCTTCCTCTTTTTGTTTTACTACTGCGGCGATGGACGGGGGTAAAACCCTATGTAATGCGACGAATTCAACAACGACAATCATAAAATATAT